ACTCTCATGGCGGAAAATGCATGCTTAGTAAAAGACGGTAACCCTGTGTGCGCACCCCTTTATCGTTGTGAAGTTCATGCAATTCCCTTAGTTTGGGTTTGTTACCTTTATTTGCCTTCTGAATCGATTTATCAGATTTACACGTCAGTGAACTATTGTCTTGATGTCGAATGTTAAGGTGTGCTTGTTCTTTCTGATGGTTTATCAGGAAAAATGCTTCGAACGCACGACTTTTATAAAGTGTTATTTTCATTAACATTTAGTTGACATCTGTTTCTTGTAGTTAGTCTGTACATAACACTTTCTTGGTGTTAATTGTCTTTTCTAACGACATGTATTTATTGTGCATGACCCCTTTTATAATGTGTTACGTTCTATCACCTGTGTCTTAACTAACTTTTATTAATAGTTCTCCTGGTAATACATGAATTGCTTTCAGTTGGTCTTCAGTATTATCTTTGTATTCGGAATGTATTATGCAAGTAATAAATTAAGATTACTTATATTTATTAATTAATAAAAATTAACACCAGTTATGGAATTGATCTTCGCCGATTTGAGGTCGTAAATTTAGGTGAATATTCAACAGAGTAATATGAGATTTTGCCAAATTGCATTTAATTCTGATATCTTAACAAATCCAGTGTGTCAATTAAGTTTAAGAAGTGTACAATGTAGAAGTGAAGCGAAAGATACCAAAGGAAATCCAAACTTATAAGTCGGCAACAAACTGACAACGCCGTAGATTAAAAAGAAAAAGACCAACAGACATACAGACATGCAACAGTTCAAGAAATACAACATAGAAAAATAAAGACTGAGCACACAAACCCCACCAAAAACGGGGAATGATCTCAGGTGCTCCAGAAGGGTAAGCAACTTCTGCTCCATATGTATCACCCGTCGTGTTGCTCATGTTAGTACAAAGTCGGTGATGTAGATCACATTTAGAAAATAGTAATTGGGGTCACTGTATCGAATTAAAAACACAATTTATCCAACTAATGACAGTTGGATATAACATTGAAATCAGATTTAAGAACCTGCTGCGAAAGGCTATGGATTTGGAAGTTTTAATAGAAACATTTTGCTTATCCGACAAAATTAATCATATCAATTTTGTTAATTGACTGAAATAAAAGGAAACCAAAAAAGTATCATCTGGCAATTGACTATGATATATAAAAAGCAAATAAATTTAGAATGTAAATGTACTCTTTATCTTTCTTACCCAAATGATGAGACACAGATAATTTCAACTCTAAAACAGGTTTGATAAAAATTTACTATTTGATAAACCATTTGTAATTCTGGTTCACAATCTGCGCTGCTAATTACAAATATGAAAGATATGAATTTACACCATGTATATAAGTCCTAGGGATAATTTTGGGAGTATCACTATCACGGCAATTTCAAAATAAAAACAAACATATCGATAAGGTTCTGCATAAAAATCACTTGAGAGAAAATATAACCAATTCTAGGTCTAAATGCTAATCGGATGTTCCCATCCTGGGACACATATTTAGATCGGAGGTTGATCAAGACTATGATACAACTTATTTGTTATTTTAAAAATACGTCGTTTAAATGATTATATAAAAAAAATGTTATATAGACCATTATGTGAACAAAACTTTTCTTCGACTTGTGTGCAGAAATAGTAAACAATCTTGTCTATGTAAGAGGACATAAAACCACCGTTATATGTTTTTAGTCTCTGTTCGTTAGGTTGTCTTGCTGGCTAAGTAAATGTATTGTAAAAAATGTAGATTCGCGTAAGTTTTGTTAATTCAGAGTTGAACTACATCATTGTTATTTGGACTTTTATGGACAGTTCTTTCCTGAAACATACTTGAGCGTCTGCATGGGGTGTACATAATAATAGAATAGAGAATAATAACAACAAAATAATAAATAGAAAAAAAGAATAGAGAATAAAGCGGTGCAGATGTATGAAGAATACCTGTAGAAAAAAAAGAATTAAGTAATATAATACTGTTTACAGAAAAGTCGAATGTACAAAATAAAAATGATGAAGAAATCATTACCGATCAATTTAATAATAACGTAATTTTGATCTAGATTTCGCAGAATAAGCGTTGTTTTAAGTATAAAGAAAAGTGGCATCAAAATTAAAGAATACAGAAACCAAGGACCCCCAATTCAGACTTTATGTTGTAATGTTATACCACTGTTTCAGGTTAGGGTGAAGGTTGGCGCCTGTTAAAAGTTTAAATCCGATGCATTTTTATGCACCTGTCCTAAGTCAGGAGCCTGTTGTTCAGTGATTGTCGTTTGTTGGTGTGGTTCACAAGTGTTTCTCGTTTCACGTTTTTTATATAGATTAGACCGTTGGTTTTCCTGTTTGAATTGTTTTAGGCTAGTCTTTTTGGGGCCATTTATAGCCTTGTGTTCGGTGTGCGCCAAGGCTCCGTGTTGAAGGCCGTACTTTGACCTATAATTGATTACTTTTTACACATTGTGACTTCGATTGATAGTTGTCTCATTGGAACTCATACCGCATCTTCTGATTAATACTTTATAATTCATCTCCTTATTTTAATATCGTAGCATTGCCTGTGTTGGTTTGAACGGTAGGACTGTATGGCCAATTAGCAAAAACCAGTTAACGAAACAAAGAGACATAATTATATACCTTCTGCAAAATTAAAACATGCGGTTGTTTTGTATAAAGAAAAGAAAAAAAATATAACGACGCATCAATTAACCATCACACAATTTGTGAAAAGCATTTCAAGTCTAATATGAGTACCACTAAACGTGTATGGCAATTTTAAATGTACACGAAATATAAAGACTAAATGCAAATAACAGATGTATTTCTAAATCGATAACAAAATCTTTGTTTTTACGAAATTTTCTTTAATTGCTAATGTACATCTATATGTTATGTTATATACATGTTTCTAGTTAGCAATAAATAGACAAACAGTAGATTAATGACAATACTCATGTACAGAAAAACTTTAAAAAAGAAGATTAAGGCTGATTAGCTTAACCTTCTTATACATTTGTACAAGTAATACATATTTCTATTTAGGAATAAATAGATGAAAAATAGATTAAGATTTTTCTTTTCTTTATACAAACCAGCCGCATGTTTTAATTTTGCAGAAGGTATAATATTATGTCTCTTTTTTTTACTATTTGTCTGTATAAAAGTTAACTGAGAGTAAATTTTGTGATTGCTTTCTAAGTTAACCAAAGAAATTTGAAGCAGACAAGCAAGTTAACTTCATTTGTTGTAGCTATAGACGAGATTGGGTTTATAATTTTAAAAGTTACCCTTTCATTTGAATAACGGTATACTACTGTTGCTTTTATTAATGATTATCATCATGTAAAGACCCCCCCCCCCCAAAAAAAAAAAAAAGAAAGAAGATTAAGACTGATCAGCTAAATCTCCTGAAACAAGTGATACGTGTACCTCTTTTGATATATATATAACGGCTTGTAAAACATTTTCTGCATTTAACAACATTGCCATTGGGTCGGCGCCGTCCCTGATGCTATTTTACCTTCGATTTACTATCAAACCAGTATATAGTGCTTCCTTACCATTAGAAAACCATATCAGTCGTTATGGATCTTAGATGTAATCAATTTACTCTTTATTTATATATATTCGCCGGAAAAAAATTCTCAAAAAAACATTTTTCAAGTAATCATTTTTTGTTTCAATTTACATTTTTGTTAACATATGACAATGTATGATATTTACAAATTCTGAATATTCATTTCATTAAATGTTGGGTTTATGATTTAAAAAGTTAAACTTTTATTTCTCAATATTAAGTTTATTTTTTAAGTGTTAAACACTTGATTGAGTAAGTATGTAAAGTGTAACAGATTTCCAATCAAAACAAAAACATTGTACATGTGGTTTATATGTCTTTTTCGATAAATCACTTTATTGTATATGTCATCATAATTATGGTAGAACAAATAGAATATCAATATGCAAGTGAATTCAAAATGTTTCAAATTCACTTTCACAATTTCTGTCTTTCGTATATGCGCAATGCTGATAAACATTTCCGTTTTTTATGGATTTGCCAAAATTAATGTTAATTTTCGCAACTTGTCAACAATGTAAAAAGAACGAATTACTATGTTTGATATATTTTTTATGGAGATCTATTGTAGGAGATTCGGTTATGGCATATTTTTTTTTTAAATCTGTGTCTATGTTATAATACGTTTGTGTGTAAATGTCAATTTCATTGAAGTATTTAATCACTGTTTGTAACTTGTAATTGCAACTATTTAATGCCATTTTTTTTGCATAGAACCTGGTTATATAAACAAAATGTACATAAAATACATTACCATCATTTGAAATTCCAAAATATCATAATGATTGTGTCTCATTTTCAAATGCCAAAAAAGGAGATTATTGAAATATTCCAAAAAAGACAGCAGCCGATTAAAAAATTGTTTTATTTGTAAGGAATACAATGTGTTTGCTATGAATTTTTGATACTTATATGAAAGATGTTCCTAAAAGAGAGCTTAATATTTATCTAAGGGAACAAAATGATGGCGCATTATATATCATCCGACAAACCGCACTGACCAAGCGATCTTTTTGTGTGTTATGCTTGTTTGTCATATTTGACTTTTTACAAACACGAATTTGAATAATGTTGTATGTTTGATCAATTTGACGAATTTTCATGTAAATCATGAAAGCATTTCTATGTACCCACTTATATCTATGATTGACATTTCTAAAGCACATGTATTGCACAATATAATCTGTATGATACTTTTCGTACTGTTTGGTAAATAACTATGGGGATACTAATGGGAAGATGTATATTCAAATATTGAATATATTCAGCTCAATTTTTTGTTTTAAATTTTTATTATATAAACGTCTACTATGGTTTTAAATTGACATCTTGTGAAAAACAATTAACCTTCATGCTTGTGAATTAATTTTTCTCGACTAAAAACTTTCTCTTGTTCCTAGGTAAGCACATGTCTTGTTTATTTTGTAAAATGTGAATCTTTAACATATATATGTGAAACGTGAATTTCTTGACACAATTAAATTTGATGAAAGTGCAATAACAAAAAACAAAATACAAAGCAAATATTATAATCTTTCAGGTTGTATTAGATCTGTAATGACTGACGTCATTGCTGCAGCTCTGCATCGTTACTTTCCATATCCACCGCTTTCAGGACAATCACAGCAACATTGGTCGTTGCGGACACATCTAGAATTCGTACCACTGCAACCTTTTGATCGACAGACATAGTTACAACCATCTAAGTTAAAGCCACAGTCAAATTCGGTAAAACATAATCGTGTTCTAGCTTCTGCAAAACCTACAAACAATAAATTATTAGATTAACTGACCCACCTGTGAAACAGACACTTTATTTCATTTGTTCAATGTTGTATAGAAATATGTCTCTTACTAAAGAAAACAACGATGATTTGTTCTTTGAAGAAACATTACAAAAATGGCTGAAGGAGTTAAGTATCACCAGTTTATTGAAAAGCATTATTGTATTTAGATTGTAACCCGTCATGACTAAAAAAATCAGGATTTAAAATTTAAGGCAGATTTGTATTCATATAAGGATGCACAGTATGATTTTGACCCAAAATTTTCATTTTTGGTGATGAGTAACCGCTTAGATTCATTTCTTAACCACCAAACACAAAAATAATAATTTAAGAGTCTGTGTAGCTAACCTAGGTCGCTGTGCATATTCAACAAAAGGCACTCTCCAACATTGAAGACAAGAATAGAATTCCTGACAAAATCTCATTTTTGCTGATTTTTTATTATTTTGTCTATTTAAATTCTCTCTATCTACTTCAGCTTTTGCTCAAAACACAAAAGAGGGTAACCAATCTTCATTTAACTGCAATCACTCCTATGAAGAGTTATAGTCTATTAACGATATCGAAAAAATTGGACTTGTTTGTAGATTTTGCCTTGCTGATCATTTTTGTTATTTAAAGTTTCTATCGCTCTATTATAACTTTTATCACATAAGGTAAAACGCAAAAAAAAAAAAAAAAATAAAAAAAAAATAATGGAAAAAATCGTCATTTAAGGGCAATAACTCTAAAAAGGATTTGTAGTACAATTTCTGGCATATTTTCTTAATTGTAGATTTTGTCTTGATGATCATTTTTTCTTTTTTAAGCTTCTACCTACTTGATATATCTATTCTAGTTTTAAGATATATGACAAAAGTGTCCAAAAAAAAAAAACATTGGTAAAAAACGTTATTAAAGGGCAATAACTCTAATAAAGAGTCGACTGATGATTTCGATCATAATACATAATTGTAGGTCTTGTTGATCATTTTTGCGACTTCAAGTTTCTTTCTTTCTAACATAATTTTCAAGGTAATAGGCAAAAATGAAAAAAATGGTAAAATTTGTAATTTAAGGGCAATAACTTCTTTAAGAAGCTTTGACGTTAAATAAACAAGTGACAGAGCTCAACATTCTAAACATTTCTTCCACTATCAGATTTCCTCTATTTGTATCGGTTTTCAAGAAGAGAAGATTTTTGTAAAAGTTAACGGTCGACGACGACGGACGACGGACGCCAAGTGATGAGAAAATTTCACTCGGCCCTTTGGGCCATGTGAGCTAAAAACGGGTTCATTATATCAATATTATCTTTTAGAATAAATCCGAAATATTTTTTTAATGAAAAATGATAACACCAAGTGCTTGAAGCTATACTTGTCATACAAATAAGACATAAGTGCAAAGTAGAAAAAAGGTACAATTTGAGAATGTGTTCGAACTAAATGGAAAATACTTCTCATTCTGTAGAATAATGTTGATCTAAAAAGTCCTCTTGCGACGAACATTATTAAATAGCTCAAGAAGGAACAAAATATATATTACCTGCTAAGCATAATGCTGATACAACTGCTAAAATCAAGAATTTCATCTCTATTCCTAAAAGTAAATTATGAGTATTCATAAATATAGGCTTTCAAAACCATGATTGATTATATTCAATAACATTTTATTGTGTATTACGCGTGATATCAGAGAAATTAAAAGAATGTATATTATTAAAATAACTTGATAATGTTTATGCAGTTAAACGAATTAAAAAATCACGGGTTGCTTGTTAGGTCTTATATTCATATTTCATATGAAAATAAGCAGATTTGGTATGACTGCGAATGAAACAACCATCCACCAAGTTCAAATAACGTTAATGTAGGCAATTATAGGCAACCGTATATTCGTTTGTCAAGCTGAATAATTAATTTCATATTCTATCGACCAAATAACTATGAAATTATTTTCTAAAAGTGTTGTACAAGGTGCGATGTAGTTGGTCAATTTGGTGTGTTGTACATAAACAATCCAAATATTAAATTTGGAGATAAATTACTTTGTAGTTACCATTTGGAACTGTATATATAGCTTATTTTATTATATAAAGTAACAATTGTAATCTAGTACCTCTATTCACTACTCACCACTTTAGCATTATTTCACCTTCCGTAATATCGTTATATATTTTTTCTATGAAGATTAAAAGGTCAACATACTTTAAAAATTTGCAAAGTTTACATAAAAATAATATAAGAGAGCGGAAATGAAGGGTGGTAATTTGAAAAATTATAGTACTTCGAAAAGAGGCCTAAGTTTACCCAAGCAACGTACCAACTATTGATTCCGTAGATGTTGTCGATAAGGTTTTTCACATACAACATTGACACAGAGCATTTAAAACACACATACGCCCCCTATAGCAGACTTTATAAGTGGTTTAAGCGTGACGCGGGATGTGCCGATTTTTTGTAAGCGTGACATGTGAAAGTCAAATTATTAAGCGTGAAAACGGGAAACGAAGTCGGGCGGGACACGTGAAATTACATGCGTTATTATTACAATGATAAGCGGGATACGGGAATCTGACAAAACGATAAACGGGATCCGGGATCAGACCTCCCCAATGAGACCCCCTTATTATGCCGCAAAAGACAAGTCAAGGAATGACTAGCCTACAATACCCCAGTAAACCATGAGGATACCGAAGGGCAATCAATGTTAATTTTAAAGGTATAAAACTTAATAAAGGTTTGACTTACTTGTGACTGCTCCTGATCTGTTTATCTACATGCACATTTAGTAGACTTGCCTTTCTTCTTTTATACAGATACATACTTAACTGCTAACCTGTTACATTTCATTGACAATAATGTCCAACGGTTATGTCTGCGATTAGAATATGCATCAGACATGGGTAGCAGCTGTGTCTATTTCTGAAATTTTTAATGTGCAAATGGCCTAGATTTCAGGGTTTAGTTATAAAACAATGTCTTGTATATGAAACAATACTTTCAGTTCTTAATATATAAAATACTAATAAATTAAGTTGGATTATATAGTATCAAATGTTTGCTCACAATGATAAAATGATGTATGCATGTTTATATATATTAATACATGCATTGAAAATCATAGATATAAGAAGATATGGTATGAGTGCCAACGAGACAACTCTCCATCCAAGTCAAAATTTATAAAAGTAAACCATTATAGGTCACAGTACGGTCTTCAACACGGAGCCTTGGCTCACACCGAACAGTAAGCTATAAAGGGCCCCAAAAAATTACTAGTGTAAAACCATTCAAACGGGAAAACCAACGGTCTAATCTATATAAAAAACGAGAAACGAGAAACACTTATGAACCACATCAACAAACGACAACTACTGAACATCAGATTCCTGACTTAGGACAGGTGCAAACAAATGCAGCGGGTTTAAACGTTTTAATGGTACCAAACCTTCATCCTTTTTCCTGAAACAATAGTGTAACATCACAACATAGAACGATACACTATAAAATATCAACTGAAATAGCTTAACTCAATCAAAGGACATATTAACACCATTGAACATACACTGACAAACTAAATTTGACCTATGACACAAAGTAAATACAAAATAAATAAACTAAGGGAAGAATAATAAAAGTAACATGTTATATCGGTAAGAAATGTTAAACAATTAAAGAAAAACAAAAATACATTTTATTGAAAAAAAAAGTTTATTTTATTATTCATTATTATGTTTCTACAAACAGCTTGTAAGTTAACACAAAGACATTTGAAGTTTGCTCAATTCTATTGACATGTAATAGCTTAGACAACCTAATTGAAGTATGTTTTCCTACGTTGCTTCATCTCCTATTTGAACCAAAACTTGATTTAAATAGTCCCTAAGTTTATAAAACTTGTACTGGGTAATAGTACAAAAATATATATGATTAGGTTGCTTGCAGCATGTAGTACCCATATCCTTAGTGGTCAATATTTTCTTGCATTCAGTTCATGTTAAGTATTGGATAGCAAAGACTCTCTATTCGCCGTTTCAGAATCTTAAGGACGACCAAATGTTCGTAGACCAAAAAATGAATTACCATGACGTCACTGTTTGAATTCTAATTGCAGGAATAAATACAGGAATTTTGAAATCAATCACAACGTTTTGGTGTACGCATTTGAAAATATTACGTAGAATGCATTTGACTCTTAATCGGTCAATGATCCATTTACAACCATAATGTTAATCTTAAATGCAACCTCTGGCCTTTGTTTGTCTTCTATGTTTTTTAATTTTAGTTCATTTATATGTTTTGGAGTTTAGTGTGACGTCCATTTTCATTGAACTAGCACACAATTTTATTTAGGGGCCAGCTGAGGACCACCTCCGGGTGTGGGATTTTCTCGCTGCATTGAAGACCCATTGGTGGCCTTCGGCTGTTGTCTGCTCATTGGCCGGGTTGTTGTCTCTTTGACATATTCCCCATTTCCATTCTCAATTTTATTTGACGACCGATAAAGCATTTCTTATCAAGCTCAAACTAAAAATAGATAAACCATAATGCAATGCACCTTTTCTTTGGTTCTGTAGCATTTTCGATATGACTTGATTATATAAACATTCAACACTAATCAAATTAATAAATTCATTTATTAGAACTGCCTTCAAAATGCTTAAACGAATATACTGAACCGAATTTACTTCTTAAAAAACCCATATTAGAACATCAAGCTTAATCATATCTTTGCCGATAAAACCTTACCAAACTCCCTCTTGATAAATGACGATATTGTTAAAATCGTTTTTAACCTGTCATTTTTCCTTTTTTTATTCCGTTTGTTTATAGAGTACACCATCAAACAATGATAGACCCGCATTGGCAGCATATTGATATATGCTACAAGTTTGGTACCGATAATTACATGTAAGTAACTAGGATCGGTTTGGTTGCAAATGTTATGTTCGTCAACATTTCATTTACGTGTGGTCGAAGAACAAAGCTAATTGCAATCCTTAAAAATTACAACTGCTCTGCTACGTTAGTGTTAGCTATCGCTTATCTTTCTTTTGTTACAGTTTTATGTACAAATTAAATCATCATATTTTTGCAGTATTGATATAATCTAGTGTTTTCAGATGTTAATACCAAAAATGGTAAAATTACATCATAAGCATGATATGAAGGTTTATTACCGGAATCATTTGTTTTAAAAACTTACACGATATAAAATTTCATATCAAACAAAAAAGAGAACAAGAGCTACCAAAAATAGTTGGAAGTACCACAACACCATAACACCGTACTCCGGTTCTCAGTGACTATAAAGAACTTCCATTTCATTAACATAGAAAAGTAGTTATGTATCGACCATTTAACTGTTAATATGATAAATATTAAATTTATAAATTTATCTTAACTATCACAGATCATGGTGCGACATTTTAATTATGATATGCAAAAAATCATAGTCATGTAATTACCCGAAGGCCTGAAGTAGTTAACCTTGGTAGTCTTTTATGAGCACTCTTTCCTCAGGCAAATGTAGTCATGTCATGAAATGCAACACCTGCACCCATATGCAATGTCGTGTAGAAATCATCAACAGCAATAAATCAAAAGTCTAACTGTAAATTCAGAAATTATTGCAAGGTTTTTATTCATACGAATTGCTCGACTGGGTTAGTATCGCAATAATTGGAACTCGCAATCTGATATCTGATAAATGCATCTGTATACAGAATTTCCTTAAATCGCAATAATTAATTTCGCAATTTTGTCCATTATTCATAAATCGCAATAATAAATGCACGCAATAATTAACTGAATTGTCAATGCTACAGTCCCAAAGAAATGATTATACGGTTTTGATAAACTACAAACTTTAAGGTAGATACAGAAATACCATTCGTTTACATGAGTAATAAATATAATTTTGATTCTGATTTATATTCATGTTTTAATTCACGTTAATTCAATATTGTTACAATTTTAGGTAAATGATCATGGAAAAGGCCAAATAAAAAAAAAAGAAGTCACAAACATTTCAGTAAATTTACAATAACCGGTATGAATATAATTTTTTGAAATATTGTTCACAAATCTGTAATAAATGAATGAGATAAACTGCTTTTAAACGTTATAGATCGATGCCTATGCACATATTCGAAATGCAAAACGAATCCGAGTATATTTGATACGCGTTATTAATGTTTAAAATGCCTAGCTAGCCTAAACTGTTAACTAGATTTGTCATTGTGCGATGACGAGTCCTAGAGACACAAATGAATAACCTAATGTCTGTTTAATAATTTGGCAGCTGACAAAATTCAAATTATCATGCGAAACCTGTACTGTAAAAGAATAAAAATTAACATTTGCCTAAGGAAAAAGTGCTAATAACAGATCACCAAGGTTAACTACTTCAGGCCTTCGGGTAATTGTATGACTACGTTAGATATTTTGCATATCTTCGTATATTACCATCTTATATAAGTACCATTGCGTAAATCTTTATGTTTTTGTCCTTATCGGGGCAGTATCGTCTATTTCAGACGATCCGGTACATGTTAAGTTTACTGGTTGTTCCTTTTTATAGATTTATATACATGATATATATTACATGATATATATTATATATATATATATACAACTCGTCTAAACATCAGCCCAACAATGTTAGATCTGTAAATTTGCTTTTGCAAATTTTTCGTTCTTCCCTCGCCGGGATTCGAACTCATGTATATATATTAAAATTTAAAATTCGCAGACTTTATTTCACATCAAATAATAACAGTTCGTTAAAATAATGTCACTAGCGCTTTCGTGCCTTCTTGCAATCTTCAGGCGACGATTTAACAATGTCCTTGACGACACTACCTTTGGGAACGTTCATTACGTTACAATATTGGTAAGGGGAGATAAATCAAACGTGTTTACGTAGATCCGTTTAATTTTGGCTGAAAGACCTTTATAAAGTGTGCTTCCTTTGCCAGTCTTTTATATTTATTAGATTCATTCATTTTATAGATAATACGGAAATACGGTAAATTTTCCACTACTACACGTTTCTAAATGTTGGCTCACATCTTGCATTCGTGTGGTTGGAACTCGTATATGTTGTCTTGTGAATATAGACTCTTTGACATATTGAATAACCAGTCTGTCCGATGTACCATTCCTTTCAAGTACTGCATACAATACAGTAAATAAGGTTTACCGTTTTGCAATAAATTTCTGTATTTGGAACAATGGTTTTGCCGTTTAGTAATGTTATTTGCGGCCCGGTTTCCATATAATCACAAAGACCACATCTAGGGTCATTACATTTTGAAACGTTGTACATGTTGTATATTATTCCAGTTGGATCATAAAATTAAGCCCTTGAAAAAATCTTTTTTAGATTTCGAGGCTGTCTTTTACTTTTCGGTAATTTTTCTGTAGGGAAAAGTTGTTTTGATTTCTTCGTTTTTAGTAAAACCGGCAAATTTGCTTTAATGACGTTGAATATGTCAGGATTATATTGGTTATGAGTGCTAACAAACGGAATAAGTTCTGTAGTTTTCTCTCTATGTGCTGTGGACCTGAGTTTCGTCATTGGTATTACTTTTGCCTTTTCTATTCCCTTATCCATTAGTGGGTTTTGATAATTTTGTTCTTTCAAAAACACCTTCAGTTCATTCAAACGCAATTCCTTCGTGGACTCATCAATTACAATTGTACATACACGTCTTGCAAGACAAAACGGGATGTTTCGTTTCGTGTGTGAAGGATGACAGGA